ATTTCGTGGAATCAAACGTTGCAATTTTATCTTGACCAGTTAAAAGTATTTGACAATACTCGCAACAAGTATGCTATGTGAGCGACCATTCAGCAATGCATGAAATACTTGCCCTAGTTAGCAGGAATGTCTAGTGCATAAAAATGCAAAAGATCTTAATATTCCCGATGTCGAGTAGAAAATATTTTATTTAAAACTTCAATCTTATTTAATTTCAAAATAAATTCTTAATAACATTTTCATTCTACGATAAATCCTTCATAATCACTCTTAAATTACTCTTCAATATAGCTTTGAAATAAGCCAATACTAATATCCAGAATAATAGATATATAAATAATATAGATATAACAGAAAATTTTATTTCTTTCTTTGATAATTGAAACGAATCAATTTTTATTTTTCATTTTATGAAGCTTGAAGTCCCTCGAACGGACTTCTGGGAAATTTTTCCATGATTTTTACTTACATTTATTTATTTCCCAGTAAATTTATTAGCGCCAATCGTTTCTGGTTATAGGTATTAGCATAAGTTAGATGAGAATTATACCTAAAAAGAAGTAAATTGTGCCATGAATATCACCAAAATTTATCCTTGAGTAACAGCTGAAAAGATCTAAGCAATTATATGTGGTTCAGCTGTTGCACCACATAATAGCATTAAACAACGAAATACTGCAAGAGTTCCATAAAATTTTACAAAAAAAGATTTTCAGATAATAATTTTAATGGAATGAAAAGAACTATTTTTCTATTGAAACGGATAAATTACTGAAGCAAATAATTGAATTGTTGCATGTCTGGCTGATTTTATTTTTTGCTTAATATATTATAGAAAAAATATTTGAGAAATATCTTGTCATTTAATATTTGATCGATTTAAATAATTAAATATTTTCTCATTCAGTGAAAAAATTTTGGTGAATCGATATTCTATGAAGATTTCTTGGATATTCTGGCCAAAAAAATTTAAATTTTTAAATTTATCTTTTTATTTATCTTATCTTATTTGTTATATTTATCTTTTTTTTAAAACCCTTACTGGCAAAATTCCCAAATTTGCCCCGCCACCCACTCTTAATATCAAATAGTTCCCTGACCAAAATTTCTAATCATAATAATTCAAAATAATTAACAACCAGTTGAGTTTAATCAGAAATGGTGACTACTAATCATTTACTCTTTTTAAAAATTACACTGATAAAATTTGCATTTCATTTAATTTCATTTTCCCTTTTCATGTATATATATTTATCTGATATATTTAAGATTTTTCTGAATTAGAATCAAGATTTAATTTTTAATAGCTCACCCACTAGTTAGTTTGATTATTTCCACCGGCGATTAAAATCTTTCCAAGCGTTTTAGTCTAATGTCATTCCTGTAACTAGATGAAGCCACTTCCTTTTCCACCGTTTAAGTCCGCACGCTAGGCCACCTATGCATTCAAAATCTCACTTGATTAATCCAGATTTTGATTGGTTTTCCTCATTTTTGACGGCAAGCATATACGATTTAGCAATAAGCGCAAATTCCTTTAGTCGATGATGGAAAACATTGCCAAGCCAGCATAGACAATATTCGTGATGCAGATGGTACTTAAGCAATGTCAAATGCAATCATATAATATAATATAATACTCTTGGCGGGTACGAATGATGCATCAAAAACAAGTCAAAGGCAAATAGCTTTCTGACAGCTTCCACTCTCATTGGTCAAATTTCGCAGCCATATAGTAGTCTGTGGGTATTACAGCAAGATAGCTTCGAACTTATGAGGATAATTTCGTAGCAATTCCGGAAAGATTTCTTCAGATGGAAGAGGGCATTTCTCACTATAGGCCATATTTTCCGCTTAACCATTAGGAATGAGTATGAATCTGAACATTTAAAATTGGATATTTCTTGAACCGTCGATGATTAATATAAATATAATATATTTTATCAGCTCCTAATATAATATGACGAAATGAATCTTATTTAAGCTGATTTGAAGACAAATTTTCGCTGCTACCATATCCGATCTAGTTTCAGTTGCAACTTCTCGCAAGTAAAATTCCTGTCAGCGAAAATGACAGCATATTTAAGGACAGCATATCGCTAGCATATTTAAGATCTGTGATATACAACGCTCTGAACTGATTTATCCATCTATTGAATGCCATTGCCCATAATCAACCTATTCGCATTGTTGAAAATTGTGGAAGAAAGGGCGCAACCTTGACTTACTTATTTTAAGGTTGCCAGTTCTCCATATGTACTTAAATTAGGCCGATATTTTAATAAGTTTGATTATCGCCATTAGAACAGCGTTGTGTTGCATTCGCCAGAGCTCTGTTGAAAGTAGTGGCAAAGTTGATAAAACATGTAATTAGGTTGAAATTCTTAAAGCCATGTTCCGGTATCCTTTTAATGAAGATTTAATCAGATGTAAATATCTGCTCTGGTCTGAATTCGGTTATGACATATTCTGCTTTCATGCACTATCACGAATCTATTCAACAGAAGAAAAATTTTCCCAGAAATAAGACATTCAGATATACTATGCTAATTCCTCGATAGTTGTCGCAGTGCACATCTAGTTTGGTAACTGGGAACAGAATAGCCTTTTTTCAGTCACATGATATTCTCTCCTTCTCCTATACGAATGAATATAACTTTTGCAGGTACTTACTCGTACTTACTTTACGAAGACGATTTCAGCCCACAGACCTTCTCCAAAGGTCTTATTGGACTTAAACTTGTGGATTTTAGATTACCCCATCTTAGGTTGATGTTTTGACTACTCCTTAATCTTTTGACTTGAGATAGCTAAAAGATTTTGGGGAATGTTGCATTTTGCGAGTTATCAATTTCATTCGAATCTTTGCTCTAATGGTCATGAAATGACCTGACTCGTAATTGGTTGCCAATTGCAATTCCGATTCTTCGCGATTCCAACAATGATTGATAGTCAATCATTGTTGGAATGTTGATTTTTCGTCAGCTAGATGTTTTGTATTGCTGAAAATATATATTGGTGACAAAAAGTCCATGTAAGCGAAGATGAATTGGCAACCAATTACGAGTCAGGCCACGAGTCAGGTCAAGATGCTCCGCTGGTCCCAAAGCCATATTTACCAGCTATAGAAGATTCGAGTCTTAAGTGCATTGCAATCTGCAATGATTACATCATTGTTTAGGAGAGGTTGCTAGCAAGTTAAGGTCGTAATAGAATCTATCATTGTCGAAATCCGCGCACATCATAGGAGAATAGGAGAACACTGATCCGCGAGATATTGCAAACCTTGTTTTTGAAACTGGCATACGCCATTAATAGAATTCTATCCGATTAGAGCCGATGTTATTTCGTGATAACTGCGATTCCATTTCTACCTGAAATGCATTATGATACAGCTATGAATTCTGAACCAGGCACATTCATCTCTCTTAATTTGATCCAGAATTAGGAAAGGTATCCTTCCGACAAGAAATGCACACAGGAGACTTGGATGTGTGGGCGATCATTATCCGGCTCCATATAAGCATTCGAACATTGAATGCAGATAAGGCCAAGATTTCGCCGTTGCACAGGATGAAATTTATTTAATTTCTTTTACTGGGCTAAAAGCTGGGGAAAAAATGGCTCAGTGGATTGTTGCTCAATTGGAAGCGCCGATGCTGAGGTTCGACTCCCTGCAAAAGTAAACCTGTACAAAAATCCGCGTGATGCTGGCGACTCTATCGTCAAGAACTCCCTGGCATATTGCCCAATGCAACAAGCAGTGGAGCGAGTTTAACCAGCAATGCTGAACACTCTTAAAAAAAAAAAACTGGGCCAAAAGCAGTTTCCTCAGTCTGAAAGTATATATGAATATTTTCGATATTAATATTACTATGCCCAAGTCGAAGAAACTTATCGCATATACCGTAGGGCTAGGGAAACGCATCGGAATACAATATTTGTTTGATATTTGCTTGACCAGTTCGCCGTAGAGTCAACTGAAGGTGGAATCATAGGTGTCCCCGGCAGTCACTTGGATTTAAATTTAATGAGTTTGCTACTGCCTATCTAACATAAAAATAATTTCGTAATTGCGAAATTAATAAAGAAGAAATTTAGAAAAAAAAATTGTTGTTTGTTTATTTAGAACGAAATTGAGGAAATTTTAGAAAAAATTTTATGAAACAAAAACTTTTTAGTGAAGAAACAAATTTTAATTTCTTAGTTATAATAATTGTTATGGAATTATCTTTTATTTTTTTATATTTTTATCTTTTTTTATTAGTCAAAATAAGAATTACACTAATTAAAATAAACTAATTAAGAATTAGCACTTATAATAAAACAAATTTAAAAAATTAAAATTAAAAGTGAAGATAAAGGAAATTTGAGGATCAAAATTTATGAGCACCGTAAAATGTGCAAGAAATTTTTTCGAACTAGCAAATAACATCTTCTTCTAATAGCACTTACCATCATTGGTTCGGCCGGCTATCTTGACTAAGGCTATGACATCTTTAAACTGCTCGGTCCGGCGTCATCACTAGTAGTAGTAGTAGTCATCGTTAGTAATAGAGGCCATTCCTTTTTCCATCGTCCAAGTCCAATATCGCTGGTCTTTCTATATTTCAAAATCTTTCCTGACTGTATCACTCCAGATTTTTACTGGCCCTTCTTGCTTTTGGCGTCAACCATCACAGGGTTTAGCAAGTAACGAAATATGCGTCAACTTCTGTGGTGGACGACTGAGAACGTGCCCTAACCAGCGAAGGCGACGCTCTGTGATAACATTATTAATACAAGTGGTATTTGAGCGAAGATGAATAAGTCATGTGCGGTTTTATTCGCTCGACGGATCCATGTACCTTATATGTGAGTGGACATGAATGGCAAATAAAATTATAATATGAAGCATATCTGAAAATATTACAATACAAACAAATGATTTGGTTTTAACCGCTTTAGCCGTTAATAATTTTATTCGTAAAATAACAAAAAATGAAAAAATTTAATTTTATATGTTTGAATATAAAATTTTAAATGTAAAATTAAATGTAAAATGTAAAATTATGATTAATTCCAAGGAATAAAACATTTTTTCTAATCTGATACATGTTTTTTAGATATCGAAACCGTAGATCCAGTATATTTAGCGCTGAAACAAGCAACAGGAAAATATGGCCGAAGAAGCTCAAATTATGATTCTACTACACCATCTCCACGAAATCTCTCAGAAGGATCACTTCAGGATTCTGGCTATGCCGAAGCTAATTATGGTCCAAACTTACTGGATAATTCATCATCACCAGTTGACCAACCTGGTATTGATACAACACTTGTCTAATATTTATTAATGATATAATTATTTGCCTAAATTTTAGCGTAAGAAAAAGTTAGATATCTATAGATCTTTCAGCTTCTGCGCACAATAGACGTCGACCACCGAAATTACATAAACAAATGAAATCTATATCACTTGATTGTGCAGAATTACCACAACCAATTCCTAACAATATGAACAGTGGGCGCACATCGAATCGGAGTGGTTATTTTCTTTATCTTTCTTATTTTTATTTTATAAATATTTTTTCTCCTTAGATACAAATCTTAATTTCTTGATTTACTTTCGATTTTTGTTTGTACCTCTAATATTTGCTTTTTTATTGCTGAATTTACACAGTAATTTAATGATTTTTCAAATTTTATAGACTTTGGTCATATTAGGCATAACTTTTTCCAGGAATGAAACCTGCTACGCCTATGAAATTAAATAATAGCTCTGGTGATATTCCAAATTTCGATAATAATCAGTGTCCTTCAATTTCTTCTCCACGAGCGCCTCGACGTATTCATTCGTCTAATGGTTAGCATTTTTTAAATTGCAAAGTATGAACAGCGCACAGTTCAACCCATTCTTACAGTTGGAAATCATTCATCTTAAATTTTTAACAATTTTATTTAAAGTATCATAAGTATCATAAGTAGCATGTTATGATAGAAGATTTGGCATCCGACTGGATAATGGCTGATATTACGAATTTAGAGGCGAACGTTCTGCTACTGCTCTCAGAGTTAAAGAGTAAAACATTAAAAATGCCGAGTGGCACTTGTGACTCATCTGTCACCAAGTGCTTTCCTGACAAAAAGTTCAAACTGCACTAAAATCAAGCGGAACATGAGCAATCAGAAATAATGAGCGCGAACCTACCTACCTAAAAAATATTTTTCAGCTTTACAAGGATCTCACATCGTCATTCACGAATATACTACTAATCCAGAATTCAAATTGAACTTAGGCGAACGAATCAAGATAGTTGATAATGGCGATCCAGATTGGTTATATGGTTTTAAGGTGAATTTTTTCAAATCATTTACTTTAGCTTCAGTTTTTTTCTTTTTCAATTGGTTCAATTTGTTCGAAAATTTTGGTTTATAAGATTTATTCACTAAAATTTCAATTATTCAAGTTGGGCGAGCGATCTGATCGTTTAATTTCATTTCCAAGTACATGTGTGGCACTTATACAACCCTCAGAGCAACCAATGATCCTCAAACAAAGTGTACATATACCAGAAGCGAAAATACGTCTCTATCGAGATCAGGTAAAAATTCACTATTGCATCTTTTGATAAAACATCCATCGAGATAAAAAGCCTCCAAATTTTTTTAACTAATAAAATTAGAAATCTTAAATTTGAATTATTTTAAACTAGTTTCTTAGTTATTGCATGTTATAAATTTGTCAATTTCAGATTGTATTCGCACAACCAGATTCTCTAGTGAATGGCCGTTTGTTGGTGAGAACTGAGCGAAATGCCTTTGTAGAATGTCAGCTTCAGTATTTATCACTACTATAATTGTTCTAATCCTGTCAGTCATCATTGGATCCATTATAATAAAAATATTTCTTCAAACACAAATCTTGCATTATATTTTTTTTTCAAACTGCTGACTTATTTCTTTTTTTTTAATTCACCATTGCTGGCTCTCCCTTCGCTGGCTTGTTTGTTTGGATGAATTTTGCAGGACAGTCACATGGCATTACAAACATAAATAAGTCAGCACCATCCGGATTTTTAAAAAAGAGGTTTAATCCTCTGAATGTATGTAAAACAACCCATTGAGACATATTACTTCCTTTTGTTTTCGCCACATAGCTCATTGTCGCTCGAAAAAAAGAGTAACGTCGGCCAAATCCGAGTCCGAGTCATTCTCGGTGGGAAGCAATTACTGTTAAGGCCATAGGGGCATCTCTGACTATAATTATCTCTGACTACTCTGACTCTATGTTAGTAGATGAAAGAAGCATTTGTTACGAATCGCTGAGTATTATAATATTTCGATTCTCCAACTCTGACACGAGTAAAAATCCCAGTAGCGTTATTTTAGTGTCGATTTACTTTTTCGCCAAGTGACTTCGTAACAAGAATTTCTAATTTACAACCCATAGAATAAAAGCCAATGGAACTTGCCTTTATTTTCATTATTTTTATAAAAAATAAAGCATTATTTTTATAAACATTAATTTGTATTGTTTATAGATATTTTGCTTTGGTTCATAAAATATTTCAATGAAAAATAAAATTAAAAACCAAATTATTAGAAAATTTATAAATTACAAATTCCTATACAAATTTATACAAGGGATAAATTATCAAATTATCGAGTTTAGGATTAATTTGTCTTTCCATATTTTATTGTAAATCAAATGTTATATACACATCAATTATTATTATCATCTTGTTCATTAATTTCATTAGTTTTTTCTGTGTTATATTTATTATTTCATTGATAGCAATGTATCACTTTGTTTCTTCCTATTTTTCTTTTCCTTCATAAAGCAACCATAACTCGAGAAACTCAATCAGTGAAATGATCCGGGATAATAATAATTTGCCTTTTAAGGCTATAAAATACGCCTTGTACGATGGAGGAATTTCTTTGAGGCGAAACTTGACTATGATGTGACACCTGAGTCCCGAATATAGCGGAAAAATTTACAAATGCGACAATAATTTCTATAATTTAAAAGGTTGTCAATAAAACTCCTGGAGAAGATAGCCTTCTGGGCTGAAATCTGCAAATGTCGTTCTTAATAACACACCTTCATAACATGGATGCATTCTCTGGTATGGAAAAAAGAATTAACCCAGATAATTGGAACAATAAAAGTAGTTCTATTCCGCAAGAAGGGCGATAGAACGAACTGTGATAAAAACTATAGAGAAATCAATTTACTATCTCTTGGAAAATTTTCGCTTCTATTCTACTGAATAGACATGACAGTACGGAAACAGTGGTTCTAATCAAGCGAGGATATATGACAAAATATTTACGTTAAGAAGGCTTTTAAAACATCGCTTCAAATTGTTGGCAACCGATCGCCATTTCAAGATTTTGCTGTTCCTTTCGACTCAATTGATAGATCGGCACTTTGGAAGATGATAGAATATGATGGTGAAAGAGATTATTCGACCCATAAAGGCGTTTTACTAGCTTACATCAGCACAGGTCTTTGCAAATGGCGCGAACTTCTAGCCCGGTGATACATGCGATAAGTATAAAACAGCTCCAAAGCTTGTAAATGAAATATGCTCAAAAGCCAGAGTAATTGCTCGAAATCTCTCAACGGGTTCTTTGTACGAGCAGCAAGGAGTTAGCCGTAGCACCGTGAAACGTCAGAACGCTTATGGACGTTGCACGCCAAGCGATCACTGTCCACACTCTTTCAAATATTAGTTGGGACCAGTATTCGTTTGCCGATCCAGAAAAATCATTGATATTTGTATCACTGAGATGCTTCAATAATTCAGTTTGAAATGCGCTGTCCACGAATTCTTTAGTTTGAGATAGTTTAAGGATCTTGGGGATCTTGGGGATTTTTCTGTTTGTCAGTTTTATGCGGATCTTGGCTTGAACTCGGCATAACGAAGAAGGCGTTCCCTATTAGAGCGCCGGTCTCCGATGCCATATTTACCAATTATCGAGGTCATCGAAGTGGCATTTTTACCTACGCGCGCATTCCAGTCTCCACTGATCATGACCATGTTATGTTTCGGTAGAGACTTTGTTAGCAGTTGAAAGTTCCGCATAGAACTTAAATTTATCACACTCATCTGCCGACGGAGTTGGAGCATAGACACTGATGACCGACATTGCAAAATATACCTTCAAAGCAGGCATAGGCTATACGATAACTATAGGCTTAGCACTCAATCAAAGCGGAATGGGCCTTGTCATATAATCGCTACTCCATTCATCAGAAGCACCACAGTGGTATAGCTACTACATTTGCTTGGAGCCGGGATAAGTAATTAATTACTCGAGACCCGAAGTAAGAAAAATGGACCTCCGAAAAGCAGGCGATATAAACACAACATTTAGAAATGGTGTGGACAGTGATCGCTTGACTTGCAACGTCCATAAGTTTTCTGACGTTCCATGCTGATGCGGCTAATATCGCACCGTGCGTGCAGAGAGCTATTCTCCTTGATAGGTTTCGAGCAATTACCTTGACTTGCGAGCATATTTTATTTATCAGCCTTGAGATCGCTTTACAACCGGATTGTATACTTATCGCATGTACCACCAGGCTGAGAGTATTACACTCGTCGGAAGACGCAGGCGCCGTATCAAGAATATCTGACTTTTTCACCATAGAGTCACTTGGGGATAGGGTTACAGGTAGGTCCCCAGCAACCACTCGGATTTTCGACATGACAGGTTTGACACTCCTGTCAAAGAGACACAATTTTATGAATTTTATATATATGTATATGCGTAATATATATATATATATATATATATATATACAAAGTAGAGGATATTAAGTTATGTGCTTTTGACCATTCATTTTTAAGATACACTTCACGAGTTCATCGATTGGGTAAAATTTTACATAAACACATCCACCTTCATTCAAATACCCCTTGCATTAATAGTACCATCACAGACCACCGCCTTCGCTGGTTAGGACACAAAAGAGAGGTGGGTAAATCAAGGCCTGGAATGACAGGAAAAATTTTGAACGTGTATAAGTGGACTAACAATATAGACTTATTTATTTAGATAGAAAAAAAGGATGGCTTCTATTACATCACATTTACTTACACATTTTACTTTTGTAGCCAGCGGAGCCAGACTAACTAGTAATGGTGAGAGGTATTGTGAGAATTTCCTCACCCTTTAGCTCCCATGCAGCTCACAAGAATCGCCGCTTCTGGACATGGGAGGTCAGTGGACGGGGAGTCCATGGACCCATCTGCCCACCATTCTTTAGAATAAGTAGAACAGATAAGGGGAAATTTTCGACGGCATTCTGTTCAATTTATTTTTTTGCAACGATGGCAAAAATAACAAAAATAGTCAGTCTGATCAGTTCTCAAACCTCAGTGCACTGTCTCTTTTGTTAAAAACATTGCAAGGACTTCTAACATGCGGCCACCTCAACTGGCCGCGGCCACAAATGAATCCGCAGTAAAGCGTTGGGTATTATCATTATTATGGTTGTCGGTAAAAGTTGCTTTTAATTTTTTAATATTTGATATTTTAATTTAAATGACATTTAAGTTTCTCTTTAAGGGTTCGCCAAAGTAATCTCCGATTTCAATAATTTCGACTTAAAACTATTCCAATAAAAAAATCTCAATAAAATTAGATAAAAATAATTTTGATGTAATTTTTAAGAAAAGTAGAGAGAAATATTCTAATAAAATTGTGTTTTATGCGATTTCCGTGCGAAAAATTATTCTCTCTGAAGGAATTTGTCTCTACAAATTTTCGTAACGTTCAAGTAACGTTCATCGAACTAAAAGCGTTTATTGCTCGTTTATGCGATATGCGAAATCAGTAGAAACGCGAGGGGTATGAGGAAAGATAAATCAACGCAAAATAAGCGACGTTCGGTAGGCCTTTGAAAGTGTAAAGCAACCTGGAAATTATTCAGCAGTTGACTTGAATTTCAGGGATGTTATGTGGCTGAAACTTTTCGCTTCTCTCGGCCTTTATATTTGGTGTTATGAGATCTGCGAAAGCGACGCCAACGTTGCTACTGCAGACAACGATGAAATGAAGCGATATGATGAACGAGGTTAGTTTCGTTTTCTCCTCTACTTTCCTTGTTTTTCCTATTCACTTTTATTTGAATATTTTTATTAAATTTTCGTATTTTTGTTTCTAATAACATTTTTTTCATTTAGGGTTTTTGAATTTGGCTTAGAAACAAAAGCTGTGAAATTATTAAACATAGGAAAAATTTAGATATTAATGGAAGATTGGCTTGAAGATTCTTTTTCTAAAAAATTTTTTCTAAAAAGTGAATTTCATTGAAATTTTTAATTTTTTGTATTTTCTCTAGTTTTTCGTTCAGTCTTAAAAAATTCTTGCACGTATCCGCAGAAGGCTTTCGACATTTTAATTAAAAAAATGTGTCCAATTGCTGAACCATTTTGTATTATTGATAAACCATTTGATTCGTTGTCACAAATGCATTTCAGATGTGCAACAGGTGAGAATTTTTATTAAAACTTTTTATAATTTGAATAATTAGTGTGTTTTTAAAATTATAAGTATCGATTTACATTTTTATGTAATTTTTTCCAAACTTTTTATGTTTATTTGTTTCGCCCAAGTAGGTCAATATTTCACTTTATTTCAGTGACTTTATGAATGCTTCATTGATTATGGCAACTTTCAACAATTTTATCATATATTGTTTATTTTCAGCACTGCATAGAGAAAACAATAGAGTTCTTGTTCTCAATTCATCTGAACTCTTATCAATTATTGCTGATGACGCGGAAGAAATGGGTCTACCTCGTTGTATGTTAACGGCATTCATTTCACCTGAATGTATTTTTACTGCTCGTATGGCACAGTATTTTAATGTGCTTCCTCTATTGTTTCCGCAATTAAGAATCGTCGCAATTGATGCAACAATTTTTAGCAAGTGTCTTTTAATTTTGTAGCTTTTCTTTCATGAATTTTCTTTATATTTTTTTAAAAATGATTTTCAAAAGTCATTTATAGTCGAGTAATATTAGATTTTTTTGTTTGGTTCGATATTTTTTAAGCCAATATTTTTTTTAGTTATATTTTCATTTGATTCATAAGGGATCAGTCTTCAGATTGAATAGTCGTTATGGGATTTCCGGGACACCGACTATTATTCTTTGGGTGGACGGTGTCGCATTGGCTCGTATGGATGAAGCTCCTTTTTCAGTTAAGGCTTTTAAAGATTTCATACAAAGATGGACAGATCTTGAATATGCATCAAATTTTCGTTTAGATGTCAATAGCATTCCTGGCCCTTTGTCAAGTAAGTTGGATTTGTACTGGATTATAATGTTTGTCTTAAAAAATTTCTTTAAAATCTTAAAAAAACTTATTAATTATCTATAAAATCATAAACCTTGCTGTTTTATTGAAATTATAAAATTTTCCGCTAAATTATTTCATGCCATTTGTTTTTTAATCAGTTGATATGACTGGAATAGTAAACTGTAGTATTTACTATAACTGTAATTTTATTGTAATTTTTTATTCTTAAGGTTTCATTTTTTAAGGAATGCGTTCGTCGTTTGACGGTTAATTATTGTGTCTTATAAATTACTGGTTTACTACCTTGAAATTCTTGCCTCATTTGGGGAGTTGAAATCTGAATACAAATATTAAAATATAATGAATCAGATTTAATGAAAATGAAATTAGCCGAAACTTGAATTTACTTAATTATAACAATTATAGTAAATTATTTTAATTTATATTATAGGCGAAATTAGTGGTGATTCATTTGATTGGTTATTCTATCTATCCTATATTTCATTCTTTTCAAGTTTGGCATATTTTTTTATGAACTGGAATTATTTTCGCATTTTTTGGGAAATAATATGTAAAAGATATCGGGGAGGAACGTGAAATTTGCTGGCATTTATTTTGTGTTTTGAATATGAAATATTATAACAAGCTTTCATTGAAATATTTATTATATTTATATTTGCGATAGTTTTTATTATTTATTTTCTTATAACGAATTTTAAATTTGTAATTCATTGATAATAAATTTTTGCTGAAAGGTGTTTGCGGGACGAGCTGGTTTTTGTGCTGCGATAGACTAAAACGTATTTGAAAAATTGTGAACTGAAGCGAATGTCTCAATTTTGCGAGATTACTTCTGATCCCACACATTTTTATCGTTATTCTCTCTTCGAGCATAATGCGAAGGAAGTTGGCGGAAGTGAAGGTGCTCAGGGTCGTGATGTGGATTTTATTTATGTCGTTCATGAGTTCTGGTTGATTTAATTAGATGGGCTCCTAGTTATTATTCCTGTCTGGCTATATAGCTCAAGCAGTGGTTAGAGATTGGCGCTTGTATAGGGCAAATTCAGAGGAGAAAAGTGACGGTGAGGAAAGAAAATAAGTGGAACAAAGGGGAAGAGAGGGCACTTTAAAGTAAAATAAAAATCCTTCAATTGATAGCTACCGTAATTTTCTTATGTTTATAGTTTTAAAAATGCCAGCGAAAGCATCCGGTGGAAAAGGAAGCAAAGGAGGAAAAGGGGACGTGAAAATTGCATCGAAAGCACCGAAAAAGAAAGAAGGAGGTGGAGGAAAAGCTAAGAAGAAGAAATGGTCAAAAGGAAAAGTTCGTGATAAGCTTAACAATATGGTCCTTTTTGATCAAGCTACATATGATAAATTATATAAGGAGGTATATTGTTTATTATAAGGTATATAGATAAAATTTGGTAAATGATTGGCAGTTGCTTTTTAATTAAGCTATTAATTGAAATAATGGAGATGAGTTGTTGCTGAATTTTTAATCATCAACTCAAGCGTCAGAGTTCGGAGGGGTTCCCTCTACTGACTTATAATTTTAAATGCGTAGTTTTGCTTTATCTGCATATTATTAAAATATTAAAATTATAATTTTAATCAAAATTTTCTCCTTTCCTTTTCATTCTGACCTAATAATTGGATTTTTTTTCAAGTTTTTTCTTTATATTTTACTTTATATCTTATAGGTTGTAACCTATAAACTTATAACACCTTCTGTGGTTTCTGAACGGTTGAAGGTTCGTGCTTCATTAGCCAAACAAGGACTCAAGGAATTATTAGCGAAAGGTGGTAAAATTTTTTTACTTCTCAATCATTTTTTTTCTGTTAACGGTGGAAATATTCATTCATTTTAATTGATTTTTTGCGTAAATCTAAGATATATAGAAATATTGAATTATTGCTGTTTTGGGATTTTTCATTTTTTAAATTTTTTTTCGCTTCAATTTGAATTTCGCAATTTAATTGTCATTCAGTCAGAATGGCTAAAATTCTGAAATTATTCTATGGGTTTTGTGATTAATCGATTAAATTTTATTTTACAGGACTTATTAAATGCGTTGTTCATCACGGAGGACAATTGGTTTATACTAGAAGTACAAAAGCCGATGAATCTTCTATTGTTGAATGATTTTTTCTATTTCTTGTTTTTGCTGTTTTTATCATTAATTAAGATAAAATTCAAGGAAATTAAGATGATATATTTTTGGTACGTTTGATCCATCAGTAGTGCGAAATATTTGTATTGAGATATTTGTATTGAATCGTTTAAATTCTCGAATTATCAAAAATTCAATGAATTTAAATATTTAAATATATAAAAGCCAGTGTGGAGTAAGTTTTTTTTACGCGGACCCAAATAGAAAACCGGATACTCACTTCGTTTTAATTTTTTTAATGTTTTAATTTTTTTTGAGGGAGAGATTTTGATTAGTGCTTAAATAGAAATGCGTTGTTGCTCTGGCCGTCTTCAGCAAAGATTTCACTTTTGATACAATAGCAAAAACTACCGCAAAAAAGCTGAGTGTTGTGAGTTGCTCATTAACGGTTTAAATCTATTATTGAGTGGTATGATTTTTTATTTCGTTCATAACTACTGGTCTTCTTGTAAATTCTGTTAAATTAGATTGGATTGTCTATGAATTAGCCATGAAAAGGAAATTCATTTCTTAAAGAATAAAAGTACAAAGATTTTTTTTTGGGAATTCATTGCCATCGCCGGAAATATGAACCACTGTAGTGAAAAATGTTTTAAGTGGCAGTTGAAAGGAATGAATATTTTTCATCGAAAATAGGCATCATCTCGTGAAAAATTTCAGTTGAATGTAATTCATCGTAGCGATTTTATTTGGAAAAAATACAAGAATGACTTCGTTTATTTTGGTGTATTCGTTTTTCCACAATTTTTCGGTAACCGTATGTGCAGTGGAAATTGTCATCACCATAAACTTTTGGATAACTTGGTCAAATGGCGAATGCAAAAGCAACCTTTGGGGTCAGCCAGTTTCAATTATTTGGAACTTTGGAGCTTTTACTTCTTTCATTGAACATTCCAAGCATTTTTCTTTCTTACTCCATTGGTTAATACAGCGAAGATTTTCTTCTTTTGGGTTTCGTCCTTACATAATCTTTTGTGGATTTGCTCTCTGCCTTGCCACTAAATAAATATCTGCACCACCCTGAGCTGATAGAAACTGCGTTATCAACCTGCTTTTCATTAATTGGTCGTTAATTTTTGATGAGGCCAATTGCTGATTCGAATCCATTTTCCATTTTTACGGTCTCGGATGCATTTTGCCTTCTCCATTTGGCAATATAAAGAGTGATTTTTTTTGTGCTGTTCGACGTTCTTAGTGAAAAAGAAATGAAAAATATGCCCGATTTAGCATGCTCTAACGGAGCTCCATATTTTTATCGAGTTGTGAGCCAATATAGAAAAGACATCTGTTTGGTTTATTTGGTTTTGCGGACATCTAAGATTACTGTCTTTAATTCACTTGTTTATAATGGCTAATCTCATGGTAATTTTTAATTAAAATTGGTAAGCAACTCTTTTTCGTCGCTCGCCATCTCAGAGAGATTTTCGTTCCTGCAACTTAATTTAAGGTTTAAGATGCGACTAAGATTCCACGAAAATCTTGTTTTGGCCAGATTGAGCATGACATCTTTTCGATTTACTATTATAGCTGTAGAGGAAGATCGTGAACAATGATATTTCCATATTTCTGGCAAATTCTTTACCTTATCGTTATCAACATCAATTATTTCGATTTGGTTATGGAAAAAGGATTGATATAGATTGAGTATAGATATAAGGTATAGATCTCAAGGAGTGTTTTTGTTTTCCTAGTGAGCCATTTTTAGAAGTTCTTTCAAATAAAACACCATTTTCTGCTGTATTTTTGCCATTAGTAAGCCGTCAGAAAATGCGTGAAACGCATTTTCTGTTTTTGGCTTTGTTATATTTGCCATTCGTATTTTTTTTAATTAATTTTTTAATTAATTTTTTGAAATTTATTTGTGTATTTCAGATAATTCATTTGGAATTCCAGTCCGATGTCATTACTTTTCTCAGTTGTCCGTTCTGTTCCATTCAGCAACAAACCCATCGCAAAGGTATTCCCTAGTATTTAAAGTTTTAACTAAAAAATTGTTATTTACTAAAAGATTTGAAGAACTAATTTTTGAAATAAAGGTTTTCTCTGCCGGTGCTATTTTTATGCAGTTTTTCTTACTCTGCAACAATTATTTTTTCCAAAAATTAATTTTTTTATTATAATTATAAATAATCAATATTATAATGAAATTTTTTGAGGATGTAATTGCGAGTTTACATAGTTATTTCACATGCAATATATTGATCATATTTGCTGTAATTCTCAGTTTCAAACATTTTGGTGGTCGCCCAATAGAATGTTTACTTCCATCCGGTTTCAGTGGAGCTTGGGAACAGGTAAACATTTTTTAGCATTTAGCATTTAGCTTAATATTATTTTTCTTAATATTATACTATTTTATCTATCTATCTATGTAATATATCTAATGCATTTGCCCCTTTTTTGCAAATTTTTTCAGACCAAACCAAATTTTTTTTGATTTTTTATTTTATATCTTTATAATTTTTATTTTTTTTTTCGTGTAGATAAAAATTATTTCACAATAATAATTTGCAATTTAAGAATTGTGGCTAAAATTTATTTCTTTTATTTCTTCTTTTAACAGCTCTCAACATTACTGGTTAGGCTGGCTGTGCTGGCTGCAAAGGAAGATGCTTGGCACGGCTGCCCGCTATTGACAGTAATAGAAGAGCCATTCCTTTTTCCATCGTCTAAGTCCATTATTGCTGGTATGCGTTCAAAATTCAAAATTTTTTTTGCCTATATTAGTTCAAGTCTTGATTGGCTCACCTCAATTTTGACGCCACCCATCACAGAAATATAGCTGGTGAAATATGTATCAGCTCTTGGGATGGACGAAAAACGTGCCTTAACCAGCTAAAACGACGTTCTATGATGTTACTATTAATGCAAGTGGTATTTGAACAGAGGTAGATGCTATCATATGAGAATTTATCCGCTCAGCGAACCCATAAAATGATATACATAAGTGGTCAAAAGTAGATTATTTCTTAATATCTTCCACTCTCTTAGGCTTTGTCCCGCAGCCACTGAAGAACGCATTTCTAGCTGCCGTAATACATGTCGTTTTAATCTCATCTTTTGCCTGCCCATTCAGTATTAGAGTGCATCCAAGGTATTTAAAATCGGGCACTCCCTCAACCAGCAATAAATTTATAAAAAGAGGCATTATATCAGCTTCTTATATATAAGACGAAAAGGCTTTCGTTTTATTTATATTGATTCTGAGTACGATTCTTGCTGCAGTGGTTAATATCTTGTTTCCTCTGTTGGCGGTTCAGAGTTGCAAATATATGGCTGGATGGGCGAATCAGTTATATTTGGGACAACAGATGGTACATTATGGTTTGATTCAAAAAATTCTTCTGAAACGATCCTTAACAGCTTTAATAGGCATTCCATTACTATCCCTTATCATTTCACTAACCCCTTCTCGAGCTATAGTTGCTTTGTGAGAAAGGCGAAACGGTTCCCTGTTATCCTATCCGTGCCACCGTCTCCATTCTCAAAGCCATATCGCTTCAATAGCGATTTTTGCCCCGCCGTGCTGCAGTTGTTGTAATTTTTTGAAGCGACCGATAGTCAGCTCCTGACATTCGAGCTTTAGCAGCTTTTTAGGCAGTTAGACAGTTACTTCCTACACTCAACTAGCGCATTTCCTACTAACATATCCTAGTGTAGAAATGGCTGATTTTCCTTTAGTTGGGGCCAGTATTCATTCGCCGTTCCAGAGATGTCATTGACGTTCATTTCACTGAGATGTTTCAATAATGCGGTTTGAAATGCGCATATCGTTCTTGGATCTTTTAATTTATTGCTTATTCATTGTAGTTTGTAACTGTTATAAAATTTTTACGAAAAAAAATTTTCTTTATACTACAGTATGCAGAAAATTTCTGTTGGGCGGAAAATACGTATTTTGTCTCTCCGGGAATATTTGTTGAACAAGTGTCAGTTAGTGATCGCCGTGAACGAAGAATCAATTATTATCAATGGATGCCATTTTTCTTATTGTTTCAGGCTGCTTGCTTTAATGCTTCCACGTTAATATGGAAGTATTTTGCTGGTCATTCAGGTACTTCATTTGTTGATTTTTTTTTGTTTAAAAGAACAAGTTTTTATTTTGTTAATTTTATTAATTTTATTTATCGCATATTTTATTTCCTGTGACATTTAGGAAGAATAAATATTTATAATAATATTTCTAATTAATATTATTAAATATTTGAGGTGATTTTTTCTTCCTTTGTTTTAAATTAAGTTATTTGCTTTTGGTATTTTCTCAAAATTATAAATAATGCTTCCGGCATCAATCGCAATTATTTCGTAAATTAATCATTGTCTTCATTTCTTCAATTTATATTTCAATGGTTTATATAACTGCAAAATATGCCTTTTATTAGGAATAAAAATGGGCGAAATATTGCGATTGGCATGCGATCCCTTAAATGCGAATTTGACAGTTAAGAAAATGAATATAAATGCTCTCAACATACATTTACAAGGAGCATTACGGTTTCAAGAACGTCTTAAAAAGGTTCTTTTTAAACTTCAAAGATTCAGTTGTATCATCATGTAAGGGGATGTGAATTGAATTTCATTCATTATAATATAATATAGTTATAATATAGTTTTTTATATTATAGCTTTATAATAAAAAGTAATAGAGAATACAAAAGCCTTTAATAGTGTTTTAAAGAATACATAGAAATATTTCGAACATAATATTCCTTTTTACAACCGTCGTATCTGTTGTATTTTTAGAAGTTATTGCTGATATAATGTTTAGTAATGGGTTTAAACTAGTTCCATAGCAGTAATGCGCAGTTTTGGTGATTTTGTCTTTTTCATCATTTTTGTATTGCTTAAGTTTGAATTCTCATTTTAGCGAAAATTGGTGCCACACAAAATATTTCGCTTCCTGAATTTACGCTATTCTTCATTTTATATTTCAGTGGTTTATATGACTGCAAAATGTGCATTTTTATTCAATGCATGTTTTCAGCTTCATTTGCTCAGTAGGCAAGTTAAATAAAATTTCTTGATTAAAATCGTTTCATTAAATGAACTACTGCTATGCAAATTCTTTTTTTCAGTTATTTATTATCCAATATTCGATATGATTTTGGATTAAACGCTTGGTGTAATTTACTTTTTCCATCAGGTAACGAATCATCATGGAATACGACTGGTGTTTTTCCTCGAGTAGCTTTGTGTGATTTTGAGGTTTTTATTTATTTTTTTCCTTTTTTTTAAAATATAATTTTTGTTGTTTCTTAAATTTCTTTTTTTATTTTATATTAGTTTTATTTCTTGATTATGATATTACGTATAATTGTTGAGGTTTTTTCAACACCACTGCTGTGATTAGATTATGGCTTGGCCATGGCCATGGAAAATGAAAAAGTGAAAAAAATGAAAAATTTCTGGAATTTAAAAAGTATTTGATGAAATCTTGATAAATTGCTTTAATTATAGGTACGGGAAATGGGTAATACTCATACTCATACTGTTCAGTGTGTACTTGTTGTCAATATATTTACTGAAAAAATTTTTATTCTTCTGTGGACTTGGTATTAGTATTTTAAAGTTTACTTTTCATTCTGAATCATTTTTGGTTATTGGTTTTCTTTTTTGTGATTGCTGCAGAATTACCTTTTAAGGTTTGTAATACTGGCGATTGTTACTGTAATGAGTATTATTAATTGGGCATACCTTCTTCTAAGTTCTTGTTCAAAGGAACATTTCATCTTAAATCATCTGGAAATGGGTGAGACGAAATTGGATAAAGAAAATTGCGGTGATTTTTATTAATTCTTAATTTCGCTTTGGAAATACTTATTCTGACGTTTGTCAAGTATCAAGCGGAATGGTTCAGAAGGCATTGTTTGAGTATGATAAATTGTAAGAATTGAACTATCTATTTGTATATCAGCCCAGTGTCTTCAAAATTCTGCTTTTTGTTTTCAAAAATTTTCAAATTAATCGTCATACGTGGTAAGATGGCTAATTTGAACTTTATAACAAAACTTTCTAACAGTGTTGAAGTCAATGATCCAGAAAATATTTTAATATGCTATTATAACTTTTAGAGACTCAAAAAAGTGTAAAAAAGTTCTTGAACAAATATCTTGGCATCGATGGTATCTTAGTGTTGCGTATGATTGCTGCTCATGCCGATATCGTTTTTTCTACCGAATTAATTGTGTCATTGTGGCAGTCACATTGTCATTTCGAAAGTTTCCGCAAGTAATTTTTGCTTTTTATACTTTTACTTTTATTTAAGAGATAAATACTTTTATTTAAGTATTTATTTATTTTTTATTTATTTTACTGGAAGAAAAAATATGGGAAGAAAATAATGTCTTTCTTGTTTTTTTAGAACTATGAAGAAGATAAATGAAGTTTGGCCGCAGCATCAGCGGCAGCTCAATTTGGCTTTAATGGAAGAAGCTGATTTTGCAGAAAAATATGTTGCTAATACTTTTTCGGACCCATTGGAGAGAAAACGAAGTTTTTTTCATGGATCTGTGATTGATGGTAATTTTAGTTCATTTTTCATTTGATCGGTTTATTAAATTGTGTTAAATAAATAAGATGAACTGTTTAACTGAGTTATTGAGTTTAGAGAAGAAATCATCACTGCAGAGTACTTCACGAAAAACAAGTATAAGAAAACGAGTAAATATTAGCCGACGTCATAGTTTTGATGGCGTTGGTGTGTTCAGTGTGGATTTAATAGAAAAATTTGCCGATAGTAGCGAAGATGAAGAATAATTAGAACGGAAATCAGCAATGTTATCATTCAAAAAAGTAAGTTTACCAACAAAACTGTAAAATCCTTTCTTTTCTATTTTTTTTTTAAAAGTTCTTATTAACTCGGAAGAAACTTTATATTTCCCGAAAACAATCTTTTATTACAAAATCTTTCAAACTTTTTGGTTTTTTAGTATATGGTTAGATGAAAATTTGTTGTTTTTTGTATCAAGTTTATCTATTGCAGATTGTTTTTATATTCTTTTGTTTTATAGAGAATTAAAGATTAATTCGATTAGATGAGAGATGAAATTGATTTTTTGAAATAAATATTAATTTTGCAATATCATGCAGGTTATATAAGAAACTATATACAAAATTAGTTTTTTATCCAAGAGAAAATTGTATGGAAATTATTTTTTCAAAGGATTTATAAGCCTTTTCACAGCTGAGATTTGTGAATAAGGTAATTTTTTACAAATTTTTTTTTACAAATTAGCTAGTAGATGTGTGAATCTTTATATAAAGAACGAAAAGGAATAATTTTTGTACGATTTGAATATTAAATAACTGACTCATTATGATGTGAAGAATCCTCTATTTAGGAGTGTTTTTTTATTATTATTTCTTTCGGTTTTTTATCCATTCTTATATATCCACTAATTATGTCCTATGTGTACATTAATTTGCTTTTAATTATAGCAACAATATAATAATATAATACAACAGTAAAAATAGAGAATGAATGAGAATGACTTGCTTCTTTTTTATAATAGCCTTAGATTTGCTTCTTTTTGCGATTCTTACTATTTAAATGCCACGTCGGTTCTTTGATAATTATGATTTTATTTATAAATTCTCTAAGATCTGATTTAAGTTTCATATCTCGTTTTTAGATTTTTTCATTCTTTTCTTTAAGTTTCATGCAGACCTGTTAAGGGAATCGTCCTATTATTATACCTTTACTAAATATAGCTGTGTTTTTCGGCGGTTTACTTGCCCTTATAAAGTTTTTCATATCGGCAGGAAATGAGATGGAATTCATTTGTTTTGCTTGATTTAATTTACATTTTAATTCTCCAGATTTTAGGATTCTTCGATATAAAACTGAATGAATTACTTGAAATACCGATGTAGGAATAGAATGGCTCATTGGGTTGTTGTGCTGATTTCGGGGCGCTGTTGGTTGAGTTCTATTCCAAGCAGGGGCCAACTTGTCCTTCAGAAATCTAGGTGACTAGTGAATCACCCATTACTTTATTTCTTTTTTTTGTACCTTCCTCGATTCTCAGTGACCCCATGGCAAAATCTGGTCCGATAAGCTAATGGAGCATAATACAGCTTACAAAAGCAATGATAGGAGTGGTGACTTTCAGAAAAAAATACTGATGTACTGACTTATATACTGACTTTTAAAGGTTTTCAAGTAAATGATTAGCATTTGCGGATATTTTTGCATTGTAAATATGTTTATTTTTCGATTTTATTTAAGCCACAAAAAATGTGCAAAGCCAATAAAAAAGTCGAAGTCATTAAATTAATTTTAACTTCCTTACAATCGATCGGTATATTTAATTTCGGTATATATTTAATTTGGGTATATTTGGTTTGCAAAGTATGAATGCATTACCAATTTTGAATCATTAGCAATGAAATATTAAATTTTTCGGTTTTTGAATTCATTCAGCAACAAAGAATCTACAAAATTAAAAAATCTCAAAAAGTATAAGCAAAGAATTATTAAATTTTTGGGATAATCTATTAAAGAGAATAGCTGAAAAAAATTTTAAAGATATTTTTTTCTTTTCGCATTTCTCATTTCTTTAAAAATAAGAATTCTCATAAGAATCAATTTGAAATGAAAATGATGCAAAACTCACAAATAATTTGATTGAATAAGTATAACAAATTTTGCGCTTAAAGCAATTTACATAGTGTTTTTAAATAACTAATTGACTAATCAACCAAAAAGAAATGATTATCAATTTGCTGATTTTCATTAATTTTATTTATCGTTTGGCAAGGAAACTTAATTTCTTACATTTGTCAGCTGCATTCATCAACATCAAATTTATAAATGTGATAAAATAATAATATAATAATATTTTCTCGTTGGACTCATTCCACTAGCTGAACCAATGATTAAACTTACTTAAGTTAGGTAAATAAGAAAATCATTACCAAAATTTGTTAGGCTAGTTCCACTGGTTTATTACACTAAAAAATTTTTGCCAGAAATCACTTAAAAATACTGGGTCACCACCCGGAATTCTTAGTGATAGATTTATTCCTATTAAGAGCAGGAGGTGAACATTGTCTTAATACCTAATACTCAACTCACCTTCTATGGAAAGGACCTATACCAGATTACTGGAGCAAACCAATTTTGATAATAGAATTGAGAGAAAACGATCGATGAAACCTAATGTAGGTATCCTTTTTTCGTCTGCGAAAATTTTCACCTTTCTTCTGGTGGATTCCCGAGATAAGAAGATGGGCTTTAACTATTTTTTTCAAATGAGGGATAGATTTGTTGAAATATTCAGTTAAGGAGGGTGAGAGATGTTGAAACATCGCTTCAAATAACCATCATCATTTGTTTTATTGGTTTTGCTGCTGCTTTCGATTCAATTAATAGAAAAATGCTTTAGAGGATGATAAAATGCGACCTTATTCCATAGAAGATTCAACTCAAAAAATATTTCATCGCTCTACATCACAGGTCTACGTGTATAAGGAATTGATAGCTTCTTTCGAAAAAAGAACTGACCTTCAAGGCTGCACTTTTTTCCCTACAATATCCAATTATGAGGCAAAATGAATTATGGATTTAGGGAAAATCAGTCCTGGGCGCATTATTAAAGATTTTGAATCCTCTGATGATCTAGTTCTTTTTGCTCATAATTATGTCGAAATGTAATAGATGTTGGAAAATGTATCGATAACTGCAGTAAAAATCGTGATCTGAATCAGTACATTTTTTTCATACTCGGCTAATCTATCAACCAGTTCATCGGTTGATGAAGTGCCAGCTTTATGGCCAAGCAAAAGACGAAATAATAACTGCTGTTGCTGCAGTTAGAAGTGCATTCTTTCATGAAGCCTTAATGGAATCGCCACTAAATCATTTTCTGTTTGGTGCACATATTAATGCAGTGAGCTATTAGAAGAACAAAATTGAAGAGCCGATGTTGGCAACAAATCATTATGGTGTGAAGCTTATTACAACACTCCTGCTACCTCTAATGGAAGATTCGATACTTTTCTTAATTCTTCTAATTTAAATCTATTTGACCGATTTCTTTTCATCAGAGAATTATTTGGTGATAGAAGTAGAGATCTTCAGCATTAATCTGGATTTTAACGCTTAATGAAAGGTTTGCTCCTGTCAAACGAGAGAAAGAATCTGTATGAATTTTTCTTAGATGGGCCAGTAATATACGATTCAATCATAGATAGTATAATATGCAAATTATGCTTTAAAATTTTGCATTTATTTTATATGTAATATTAGTGTTGCATGAAAACCAGACCTGCGAAGGGGAGAACCGTCATCAAACTATGATCTTTCAATCGCTTGGATTCCACTATATTCTTAATACGTCCAATTATATTTATATCCTTTATACATCAATTAATCTCTGCATTCTACAGCTAGAGTTTTCATGTTTAAGAATCGCCATTTCATTAAACATTAAAGACTCCAATAGCAGTGATCTGGCAAGTAAAGGGGCCTTTTGAATATCTTTTTCTTTAAGATTTCACTTTTATAGGTTCTGAAATTTCCAAAATTTTTTAGGTCGTTCCTTATAGGTTTTTTAAAATTTGCTATAAAGGTATTTAAAAAATTTCAAATTTTCTTTTTTTCGATGTTTATATTTTATGATGGTTTTTTCTCATTATTTATTAGTGAAATATCTTATTTTTCATTATTTATTAGTGAAATATCTTATTTTTCATTATTTATTAGTGAATTTCACCTTTTTTTATCACCTTGAGAAAACTTTACTATTATAATTGACATTCCATTTAAAATTCGAAGAATATTAATTTTTCGCGCACAAAAAGAATGGCAAAGTTCCTTAATAATATTATGGTTGCGATATTTTTTTTCATAGTTTATATAAGGTGATTGGATTTCTCAACTTTCGATAATTTGCTAATATCCTAAAAAGATAATCGATTTTCAATAGCTTGGAAATGGCTATATAGAAAACATCAAAAATTGGCAGAACCAGAAGACTTTCGCTGATTTTTCTGAGTTAACCCATGATTTAATTTAACAAAGGTCTTTATAATAGGATTTTAATATGCTAATTCATGCATTAATGAATATTTTAATTATTTGCATAGAAATTTTCATTTAAATTTAGCAGTTTTGAATGATTATGTGCAATAATACGATTAAGCAAAGAAGGAAGAAAAGAACTAAAAATGACCGCCAAAGCCAAAGATGGTTTAAATAGAACACCACAAAAGCAACAGCAAAAGCAAAAT